AGTTCAGTTGGAAATATAATTTGTCCTGTTAGTTGATGTAGCTAGCTAGCTAACTAACTAAATAACTAACTAACTAACTAACTAACTAACTACCTAACTAACTAACTAACTAACTAACTAACTAACTAACTAACTAACTAACTAACTAACTAACTAACTAACTAACTAACTAACTAACTAACTAACTAACTACTAACTAACTAACTAACTAACTACTACTAACTAACTAACTACTAACTAACTAACTAACTAACTAACTAACTAACTAACTAACTAACTAACTAACTAACTAACTAACTAACTAACTAACTAACTAACTAACTAACTAACTAACTAACTAACTAACTAACTACTAACTAACTAACTAACTAACTAACTAACTAACTAACTACCTACTAACTAACTAACTAACTACTACTAACTAACTAACTAACTAACTAACTAACTAACTAACTAACTAACTAACTAACTAACTAACTAACCAACTAACTAACTACTAACTAACTAACTACTAACTAACTAACTACTAACTAACTAACTAACTAACTACTAACTAACTAACTAACTTAACTAACTAACTAACTAACTAACTAACTAACTAACTAACTACTAACTAACTAACTAACTAACTAACTAACTAACTAACAACTAACTAACTAACTAACTAACTAACTACTAACTAACTACTAACTAACTAACTAAGTAACTACTAACTACTAACTAACTACTAACTAACTAACTAACTAACTACTAACTAACTAACTAACTAACTAACTAACACTAACTAACTAACTAACTAACTAACTAACTAACTAACTACTAACTAACTAACTAACTAACTAACTAACTAACTAACTAACTAACTAACTAACTAACTAACAACTAACTAACAACTAACTTAACTAACTAACTAACTAACTAACTAACTAACTAACTAACTAACTAACTAACTACTAACTAACTACTAACTAAACTAACTAACTACTAACTAACTAACTAACTAACTAACTAACTACTAACTAACTACTAACTAACTAACTAACTAACTAACTACTAACTAACTAACTAACTAACTAACTAACTAAACTAACTAACTAACTAACTAACTAACTAACTAACTAACTAACTAACTAACTAACTAACTAACTAACTAACTAACTAACTACTAACTACTAACTACTACTAACTAACTAACTAACTAACTAACTAACTAACTAACTAACTAACTAACTAACTAACTAACTACTAACTACTAACTAACTACTAACTAACTAACTAACTAACTAACTAACTAACTAACTAACTAACTAACTAACTAACTAACTAACTAACTAACTAACTAACTAACTACTAACTAACTAATACTAACTAACTAACTAACTAACTAACTAACTAACTAACTAACGAACTACTAACTAACTAACTAACTAACTAACTACTAACTAACTACTAACTAACTACTAACTAACTAACTAACTAACTAACTAACTAACTAAGTAACTAACTAAGTAACTAACTAACTAACTACTAACTAACTAACTAACTAACTAACTAACTAACTAACTAACTAACTAACTAACTAAACTAACTAACTAACTAACTAACTACTCTAACTAACTAACTAACTAACTAACTAACTAACTAACTAACGAAATCAAAAATTACGCAACACTAACACAATCTTAAACACCAGCACAAACACCAACATGCACACTCAACCATCCCAACCCAGCAGTTCGGCAAAGAGTCAAAGCATCCAAAATAGGCAGCGATTTCCAGTAACGTCTAACCACCCAGTTGGCTCTAATTCGCCTTTCGTTACGGTTGTATTCTTTGATGGAAGATAATCGTCACTTTAGTGTCTCCTCTATAAGCGAGAGTGTGGACACTTAAAACAAAAACTTAAGCTTTTTGTCTACCTCTTCGTTATCTATTGGGTGACGATTAACTTCCTCGTAGGACATGCACTTGTTAAAATAGCTGTTGGTCACCTGGGTAGTCGGTAGCTAGGGGGTCACCCTAAGTGTTAGGTAGTTCGGGACCGTCCGACCAAACTGCTGGGAAATCAGTCAATAAACATCATCGCCACAGCACTAAAACAACACTGACAAATGCTTCCTGAAACCACTCGACCACTCATTTAACACGAGAAGACGTATAGAAGAAGAGGTATCAAGTAGATCAAAAGAAAAGTGAAATAGGTATTGTAATTTTTGGGAAAGCAATGGTATCTACACATTTTTAAACCTGAAACATTTATGTGCTAGCCACATCTTTCAGACTAGCCAATTGGCTTCGCGGGATTAGTTTAAGTTGTGAAATGTAAATAATAACATGTTCTGATTAAAAAATATTTGTAAAAGAAACAAACTATTTAACTTTGTTGTATTAGATTTTGACTCAATACCTCTTTGATCTGTGATAAACAGGAAGGTGGATCTATATAGAGTCTTGTTTAATTCACATATGGAGATTATAAATTAACATTCGGAAAATGACTAATATAAGTCGTCATAACTTTTCAAAAAACTCGCTATAAAAATTTACAACAATCATTTATTTACCACAGAACCCACAACTCTAGAGCTTGAGAAAACAGTATTACCATCATAAAAATCAAAACCAAAAGTAAAATCACATTCTGGAGCATAAGCCGGTAAATAATCCGTTTTTATAGAAAAATTTTCCATTTTAGAGAGTATTCTGAAAGATAAAACGCCATAGTTTAAAAAAGAAATAGATAAAATTATAAAACAATTACTTACACCCTTAAATGGGCATTGCACGGGTAAATTTGTGGTTCTCTTATTTCCGCCATTATTATCTTTAAAAACTTTTGATCAAACGACTGCGTTAAAAAGCTGCAAGCATCAATTTTTACATCAATAAATCGAACATATTTCTGCAAGAGACGCTGCTTTACATCAATCCATATGCGAAATTTTATTTCACTTCCCATGTCTCTATTACAGATAAAGCTTTCAGTGAAAGCGTAATGATCATTAGAGAGCTTCTTGAAATGGCAGTCGATTTGTTTGAAATGGTTACTAAACGTTTGACAGGTAAAATTGTTGAATTCTAAACTGAAACGTCTCTTCACAGCCTAATTAAAGGAAATAGTAATTATTTTAAAGTCATCTGACTGAGTCTGACTTTTATAGTCATACCTGAAGATTCACTAAAAACAAATTCAGTAGAATTAAATAATATAATACTTTAAACGACCGCATTTTGTATGTAACTGATGTTTGTAACTATTGTGAAAAACAAAAGTCAATGGAATTGAAATTAATAATAAATATTTAATGTAAAATATTAATAAAATAAACTAAATTATTTTGTAATTAATTTACAAAAACATGTATGTACTTCATTGCTTTAACCATTAAGTACTGTCATAATAATTAAAACAATAAGCGTTTTGGTTGATGATTTTTTACCACCCAACACTACTACAGAGGGGAGGGTATTGTGCTTTTGTGCTACTGTTTGATACACTCGTTATCACTTTCATTCGAATAAGCCATCGTTTGTCTATATTCTGTAATAGAATTACAGAGACTTTGAAATAGCAGAGAAGTAGATCCAACGCCCCACTTTACCATCTTCAATACATTAGGTTAGGTACCGAGGGCTGCTGCTATAAAAGCAGCAGCTCACTTGGGTCCATTAAGTTGGTCACGTTGTGTTACCCTTGTGGTCGCAGGAAGTGTGTTCTAATGTCACTCTCTACTTCCACAACTAAACCAACCGGTTTCATTTGGATATTCTTCAGATCTATCCCAGAAAGCTCCTCCATGGGAGCACCAAAGTGATAGCAGAATATATATGATACCGTCTTATCTTCTTCCTCATTATGACAACTTTTACAGTAGTCATTATATGTAAGGTCTAGTCTTCTGGCGTGATTGCCTACAGTGTCCTGTAATTACTGATACAAGAGTTCTTATATGCTATCTTCGAAAACCTATAAGCAGCCTTGATCTGAGAACATCATATAGAGGCGAAATAGACCTCCAGATCTGACAAGTGGTTTCACAGAACCACCTGATAGGTGTCGATTTCCTCCTCAATCAACAGCGCGCCGTTTATGGCTAGTTCATAAGCTATACAGTTACCCTGACATTTATCGTGGCCAGGGACCCATATTAGCGTAATCCTAGAATGTCTCGCTATCTCTTTTAGAGATACCTGGCATTCCTTGATTAACGTAGATGTCGTGAAGACACCCGCTATGTTTTTGATAGCAGCTTTACTATCAGTATATATACATATATCACCCGATATGCAATAATACCTTAGCCAATTCGCTGCTCGTTTACCATAGCACTACCATAGTTAGGCAGTCTTAAGGACGATTTAATACCAATTCCTTCAATAAAGAAACCATCACCCACTTTTCCACTTCTCTTGGAGCCATCAGTGTAAACGCTCGTTACACCTGGAGGTGGTTGGGGCTCTAATTCGAAACTCCTATGTGGAATCCTTGCACAAAAACCATTATCGAAGTTGGGCTTCGTAATGCAATAATCAACATTTAAATACAGTGATTCGAATTGTTTTATAATTCTTGAGTGCCCCCAATTTCTGTGACCACACCATGAGCCACAGGCATTTAGTCTGATCGCAGAGTTGAGGGCAAGTTAAACGGCCATTAAGATAGCTGGTAGCCAGTTTAACATGGTAAACACTACTTTGGTCGGCATTGTCTTTATTGCTCCTGTAATAAGGATGGCAATATTTCTCATAGTGCACTCAATGGTTGCACAGTGTGAAGTATGCTCCATTGCTTGCCACCATACTATAACTCCATTAGACAATATGGGTCAACTACCTTCTTGCATCTTCAATACATTTCTCTCATACACATACTATCGGTATTCCTTTCATTCCCTGAGCATCTGTCTGTGCCATATTTAATTAAGACCATTTTAAGCAATCCGCATGAAAGCTGGTCTTCTGTTCTAGAATGTAGATTCCCATGCCCGTTCTATTCCCAAATGAAATCTGTCAGTGTAACAGTAGGTTTCTTGGTTATACAGGCAGCAGTAGATACACACGTTGGTCCTTTTGTGATACCTGTAATTATATTAAAGGGAAAAGAAGAAGAGGAAAGTGGAAGTTCTAGTAAGAGACAATAGTAAAGATGCATTGAAAAGAGGAATTTAAGCGGTTAACAGTAGAGACTGAGAGATGAAGATTAAGACAGACAGTGAATGATTAAAACATAAAAGGAAAGAGTCTTGGACTCGAAAATGCTACTAATCAGTGCTGTTGGACTTTGTTTAGATTATTTATTCTAGTCCAAGACAACTCTGAGATCTCTTCCAGAAATCAATGTCCTAGATATCGGAGTCGAATAGTCCCCAATGCAGCACGCCGAAAAAGAAGATGTTCAATTGATTCCTCATCTTCCTCAGTAAGGTAACTCAAATCTCATTGCGTTGTTGCCAAATAAATCCACAGTGCCCTGTGATGACAGCTATTATTTCGCTGGGTTGGGATTGGCTATATCTCAGAAGATGGTCCGTGTGCTCCTTATCCAACTTTAGCCATATGTTTTTTGTTTGAATACAAGTTGGTTAATTTCTCCATCTTGCCTGAAAGAGTTCATAGAACATGTTATCTCTAAGTATTTTGTTTAATCCTATCGGAGTACCATAGAAATGGTCTATATCCGAGTCGGACAATTGTGAACCCGTTTTCGCGAGCTCGTTAGCGATACAATTGTATTTTCGTACCCATACGAGTACAATGTTTGAATGTCTTGCCAATCTATATAAGGATGTCCGGCATACCTGGATTAGTCGTGATGTAGAGTATACACCTGTCAGGGACTTGATTGCAGGTTGACTGTCGGTAAAGATTAGGATATCTCTGTTCGATATATTATGATACCAGAGCAAGTTTTCCATCCTTTTTATGGGTGATATTTCGGCCTGGATTCGATTACAATCATTACTGATTCTGAAAGTAATCCTGATTCCAAATTCTAGAATGAAAATACCCCTCTACTCATTCCCCTCGTTTAGAGCCTTCTGTGTATACGGATAGACTTCGTGTAGAGCAATCTCCCTCCAGTACCGTATTTTCCGAGATGATAAACAGTAATGTTCAATACTCTAATGTCCCATTTAATAGTGATCCTCTTTCCGGAATCAATATCTTCCAATTTCTGTCTCTGGTACGCGCTAGAAGACTTCTATTGTTTGTTAACAACAGAAGTCGAGTGCTTCATATGAATACCTGTCAAATAGCCTATATCAAGGCGCTACTATTTCAACCTCAGGATGAGCTAGGGACTTATGAAACTTTCGAGATGCAAAACATCAAAAACAACAACACCTAAATGGAATGGTCTCTGTTGATTAAACCTGAACATATCCTGACAAAGAACAGAATTCTATGATGACATTTGTATAAGGAAATATTCGATACACAAGTTTATAGCTGTCGCGAGGTTTATATACACCTGATTCATTCTGTATATCATTCATTTCACATCAACACATTACCAATATTGGAGTGACTATGGGTCTAAGATTTCACCGGTTATTATCTTTAAACTCAGCCAACACCCCCGAAGTGACATCTCGATCCCAGGACAAATGATTCTAAGGAATGGTGATTTTCGATTTTCTTTTGAAAGGATCGCGGTCCTTCTCAACCTCAAACAGGTTTATAGTTTAGAAACAGTCTTTAAATCGATACAGAAAGAAAGTGTGAACAATTTGCTATCGAAGGACTTCCCTATGTAGTGCTGATCTACGTTTTATTCTACTTCTAACTATGTTATCAACTAACCGACCCAAAGTTTTGAGTTAGAAAGACGTTAGGCTTACCAGATCACCAGTTACTGTGGTAAACAAATTCGACACCAGGTCAAATGAGTCCAAAAAATGCCCTAGAAATTAAATGACACCACCAGTTTACACTCCCGACAGACTAGAGGTACTGGTAACATCTTTGCCTTGTAAGTTTTATATAGTATTTCCATGTTAGTTTCCTATCAAAGATCCTATCAAAGTCCAAGAACAGGGGTTCATTACAGGCAGGAATTTTCGATTTTCTTTTGAAGCATTTCGGTCCTTCTCATTCTATCTAACCTAGAACAGTATTTCAATGTTAGTTTTCCTTTCAAAGATCGTCGAAATCCAAGAACGTTCAGTATAGGCAGAGATTTTCGATTTTCTTTTGAAAGATCTCGGACCTTCGCAACCTGGAACAAGTCTATAGTTTAGTAAAAAGTCTTTGAAATCGATAGATGATTCTTAGGAATGACCGAGCACCAAAATGACAATACCAGCTTATAGTCCCGGTACTGGTAACACCTTTGCCTTATAAGTTCTATGTAGTATTTCCATGTTAGTTTCCTATCAAAGATTGTCCAAGACCGAGATTCAATATAGGTGGGGATTTTCGATTCGTTTTTGAAAAGATCTCGGTTCTTTCAATCTGTTAACCTAGAACAGTATTTCCATGTTAGTTTCCTATCAAAGATCGTCGAGTCCAAGAACGTTCAGTAATAGAAGTTCAGTATAGGCAGAGATTTTAAAAGATCTCGGACTTTCTCAACCTGTAACAAGTCTATAGATTAGAAAAAAGTCTTTGAAATCGATAGAGAAAGAAAGTGTGTACAACTTGCTATAGAAGAATGTTCAGTATAGGAGTTCAGTATAGGTAGAGATTTTAGATTTTCTTTGAAAGATCTCGGACTTTCTCAATCTGGAACAAATCTATAGATTAGATAAAAGCCTTTGAAATTGATAGAGAAAGAAAGTGTCTACAACTTGCTATCGAAGAACTTCTCTATGTAATGATCTACGCTTTACTTCTAACTATGTTATCAACTATCCGACCCAAAGTTTTAGTGGGAAGGGCATTAGGCTACTAGAACCATAAGCTAATAAATTCAACCTTAGAAACCTACAGAAGAGTATATGTGAATTCCAGACATTGTGGATAAATTTATCCACAGACTTTTAGGCACAAATACCACTATAGGACCATCCATCGAAAATCAATCTTGCGCTATTACTACAATACATTATGTTTAACAAATTATAGATCCCAACCTTCATAATGGAATCTCAGGTGTAGGACACCTCCACAATTATATCGACTATCGGATTAAGATTAAGTGGTAAAATTGATTAAAAATCCAGATAATTCTAAATAAACAATTTAAACCAAGTTAATGTAGCGAAAAATTACACAATTGCGCTAAAGTACCAATAACATTTAAAGCTAAGTATTATTATTTAATTAAAACTTATTTAATTAATAACTAATATCTAGATTAAAATATTAATTATAGTTGAATAACAAACTAAAATTTATTAAACATTAAGAATAGTTTTGAAAACCGGTTAAAATGAGGTCAACGAAGTTTTTCTTCAAATTGTTAATAATAATTTTAGGTTTTTACAAAACAACTTCAGTACGTTGTATTTTTCGCATTTAATTAATTTAAATAGCAATTAATTTCGCATTAATTTTAGGCACCCAGACGCTGGAATTTAGAATTTTACTCTTTGAACTGTTTGAATAGTTCAAATGTTATAAAAACCTTTGAGTGCAACTTTAATAAATTGGCACCAAGTCATTATAACTTCTCGACACGTCTTATATTCACCAAGAATTTAGACAAGCAGTTTTATATACGATATTTCATCGATGTCAAGCCACATTTCAAGAAAGATTATATACATTTTATAAATATCAAAATGAATGCCTGTGATGCTATACGCACCAACTATGAAATACCTTTGCTGCAAACTCTTATGCTGGAGTTGAGAAGGACCAGTAATATACCCTATCAGTGCCCTTTTGAAAAGGTAAGAAACTATTATATATTGTGTATAGATGATGCTTCTGTAATGGATTTGTTTCTTGTCTTTTAGGATTTTCTTTATGAAATCAAAAATCTTTCGGTAACAGACAAATATTTGCTGATGTCGGTACCTAGTGTAAATTTCACTAATGGTTTTGAATTATACGAATCTAGTAACTTGATTGGTTCTTTCATAACTAAAGGAGGTATTACATCAAAGATATGAATATAAATGTTTAGTTTGAAATATACGATTTATATGATAAAAACTGAAAAGATTATAAAGATCAAAACAAAAATTGTTTGCTTTTTTTTCCGTCTGAGCAGATGACTTTCTGGGTTTCAACGTGGTTCTAATCGGAGAAACATTCTTCAATTCGATAAGTTAGAAACTCATTGAAACCACATCATTGGGATAGCTAATAGAGCTTCCTGTCTTGGATTCTAGGAGTCAATATTTCAAAAACTCTGGAACACAAAGAGCATTAGTTTCGAACACGAATTTCCATGACCACATAATATATGCTCATCGAAGTCACAATATCTCCCACATTGAAAAAACTGGACGACCAGCGAAAGAACTAATAGAGCTTACTTTCTTGAAATCTAAATGTCAATATTACGAAAACTCTGGAACACAAGAGGAATTAGCTTTGGACAGTATCATCTTTTTAATATATCAAAGATCAACGATCTCCCTTCCTTGAGAATGTACCCCGATGCATATAGTATTTGCAGGTGCAACCAGGAATCGGGGTACATTCTCAAGGAAGGGAGATTGGCAACAATAGTATTCAATCCCAAAGAGGGAAAGAGAAAACATATTCCAAATGATTCAAAACCAGTTCTCTACAGACGAGGACCTGAGGGACTTAAAGATTGGTTTGTTGGTTGAGTAGTCAGTGAGTTTCTTATCAAGCTTTAGACATATTTCCCTAATTTGAATGCATGTTGGTTCATTTCTCCAGCTTGCATCGGAGAGTTCGTAGAACATATTGTCCATGAGTCCTTGCATTCTCCTATCTCCTAATCGGATATGTCTTTGTACCCATACGAGTTTGGTGTTTAAATGTCTCTCCATCCAGTTTAAGTATGTCCGGCATTCTTGGACTAGTCGTCATGTAGAGTATACACCTATCAGGGACATGATTGGACGTGTCCTCGTACCGATACGAGTTTGATGTTTAAGTGTCTCTCCATCCTGTTTAAGGATGTCCGGCATTCTTAGAGTAGTCGTCATGAAGAGTATACACCTATCAGAGACTTGATTGCAGCTTGACTGTCGATAAGAAGAGTTTAATGTTCTTTTTATGGCTGATATATCGGCCTAAATTGAACTATAATCATTGCTGATGCTGAATGTAATCCTGAATCCAAATTCTGGAATGTAATGATTCCCCCTACTCGTTCTCCTGGCTTAGAGTCATCCGTGAACACGGATAGACTGCATGAAGATTGACCTTCCTCCAGACGAAAGTTTCTCTGGAGTAAGGGCTAGGGGATGCAATAATCAATATTATCCGGCAAATTTTCTATCCTGTCGGTAATATTTGCATGTCCATATGATCTGGGTTTCTACTATTTTGCATAGTCCGAAAAGAGAATAAATATTCGTTCAGACCAGTTAGTACAAGTTCGATTTTGCTTGGATTTGGATCAGTATTTTGAGCGCATTTACCAACCAATACAAAGGGACCCATAGGATCCAAGTAAAGCTTAACTCCTCGCAGTAAGCAGTCTGTAAAACCTAACCTATCGCAACTTCGCGATGTTCCAGTGTTCTGAGCAAATAGTTTATGGCAACATTCCACAGTAGTGGAGAGGACATCTCTTTGTAGTGTACCTCTATTTGCCTCTATTCTTTGGATCGTTGCTGTACGCATGTTGGAACATATAATCCATTGTTTGGGAAGCATTTACTCAATGTTATTGTAGAGCTGAGATAATTATACCATCATCATCATTTTATATGATTAAAGGCATCTTTATGTCAAGAAAGGCTGCTAACGTCTAATCTCTGAATTCAAGTGATGTATCTATAGATTTCTCTAGAGAGTGAAATACAGTCTCAACCGATTTAGCCTTAATGTATGAGTGTTGAGAGGTTGATAGTGAAGACTTTTTCCGTAATGTTCTGATATAAGCATCAATTATTCTTTCCAAGCTTTTCAGCAGCAAGGAAGATAGACTATTCGGTCTATAGTCACTTTGATATGCGTGACTTTTCCACTTTTGGGGATAAACTTTGTACCTAACCTAATGGTCAGGTATGTATATAAGGCCAAGTGAGACATGCTTGATAGATTCCTCGTGGTAACTAGTGTAACTAGATCTACAGATATAATACGATATATCAGCAGATATAATACCATTCGTGCTTGGAGACTTATATGGCTAAAAGGTGTTGATTGCACATTTAATAATATTCTCTTAGATTTGAATCCCGCCAAGATGTTTATAATATATGCATGTGTTCTCATGCTATTCAGCTGTCCAATGGCATGTTACCAGGGCAATAAGTGTTCATCAATTCTACTAATGATTCATGTATACTAGTCGTCCATTCATTGTCGTGCTTTAAAGCAAAGCTTTGGACGATTTGTGATTTTGACAGGATTTTAGGTAAGCGACATTACTGCAATAAGCTCTTCCAAGATCTACGCTTTCCGTTTCTAACCTGAATTTTAAACCTATTCAAAGAGGATTGGTATAAAGGTCTAATCTTTAGGTTGACCAGATAATAATAAAATATACTGGAAGGGGTATGCAATGGCATACTTTTTGGATATATAGGGTGCCTTTAGCAACATAAATATATCCACTTTAGTCGAGGTCCCGAGCGATTTAAAGCTTGAACAGAATATAACAAACTGAAAGGGAAATTTTCTGAAGAACAGGTCCTATAATTGCAGTTATCCAAAGTTTATCGTACATGCTCTTGATGGTACACTTTAGAGGATTTAGCAATTTTATTAAATCTGGTCCTTGCTAACTATTATAATTGACCAGACAATAGAGATCGAATGATATTCTCTGAGCCTATTGTAATAAATCAAATTTCAGAGAATTAAGAGGATTTATTCGGATACATTTTGTATCTGTTACTCCTAATGTTAAAATATTCACAAATAATATTATTAAATTTTAATTAATTTTAACATTTTTCACTTTAGGAAGAAGACTACCTTTAGTTTTTAAACTTGCAATAATTTCATTCGACTCAAACAACTCCAATCCCTGGACGAAATGCATAAATGGCATTAAATTTTTCAAGCTTTTATCGGTGAATGATAAATTGTGAAAAGCATAAGCGATATTCTAAAAAAAAAATATAAACAAAAAGAATTAAAGAGTTACATATATAAATCCATTGAACATACTGCTTTAAATGGACACTGGTAGGGTACATTGCTCTTTCTTCTCAATTCTATAACGAGACTCTGCAATATAGGTATATCGAATCCCTTCTCGAGTACATCACAACCATTAATTTTTACATCCAGAAAAGGTAATGTTATATTTCTCGACAATGGCTTGGCATCGATAAAATAGCGCATAGAAAAATCCTTTTGCATAATTTTATTGAATACTATTTCTCCATCGAAAGCATATTGATTTTTGGCCAATTTTTCCATTTTGCACTTGAAATATTTGACACTGTCTCTCATTGTCATACAAGTGATATTATCAAATACTAATTCGAAATTTCTTGAGGGAACCTGAAAATAAAAGGATTATATATTTTGTGCTTTAGAGAAATTATTAACCCACCTGCGTTGATATTTCAATAATTGAAAACAAGAAAATTATTTTGAATATTTTCCGACACATTTTTAAACACTAATTCATATAATATATATTGTGTAATAATGTAATAATTTTATTGTAAGAAATGGTAAAAATCAATTGTCAGCCAAGTGTAACTACAAATTAATTAAAATTGAAATTGAATTAAAATTATGTCTAAACTATTATTAAAATTCCATTAAAGAGTATAACTAATTCTTTTTAAGTTTTCGTAATTAGTTTAAATTTGAATATATTTTTTAATTTTTAACAAAAAAATCTTTGATTCAATGATTACTTTTATTAATTTAGGTTTTAATTAATCTAAAAATTTATGGCTTTCAGTTTAAATTGAAAAAATACCTGTATAAATATCAATTTTATGCAGATTTTGTAAAAAATTTCAAATTCAATATTAATCATACGCTCTGTGGTTTTAAAAAGAACAAATCCTCATTTCGATAAAACTATTAAAGATAATGTTCTGAAATTTGGAAAGTTCATGGAAAACAAGGAACGTTCTTTGTATGCGACAAGGTTCGATGCGTTCGGTAGAATGAATTAGCTATACATTTGTCAGAGATGGGCAGCTTCTTCTGCAATCTAACGCTAGTAGAGCTAATGATCTTAAGGACAGCTCGGATATAGAAAGATATATGAACTTACCTTAGTATTTGAAATAAGGCAAAAATACCGATGTTTCTACATAGAATCAGAAACATTTATATAACTGAAACAAAATTCAAGTAGAACTGACTATATTCACTTAACTCCGTAAAGCCACGCCAATGGATAGATTAGACGACCTGCAAGATCGGGATAACTAAAAGAGCTACCATTCTCGGAGTCAATATCAGGAAAACTCTGGAACACAAAAGGAATTAGCTTCTGGCAGTATAATCTTTTAAACATATCAAAAATCAAGGATCACATATTATTTGCAGGTGCAGGCAGGAAGCAGGGCACATTCTCTAGAAAGGGAGATTGGCAACTACTGTTCATTCATTCCCATGGTGGGAATGAAAAAACCATTCTATTGCAAATGATTCTACACTAGTACTCTATAGACGATGCCCTTAGGACTTAAATATTAGTAAGTTGGTTGGGTTTTCAGGCTACGAGAAGCACACGCAGTCAGTGAAGTTCATACATTTGTGAACCTATTTTCGTCAGCGAAAAATACAATTAGGTACGATATTCGATTCAGTCGCCATTCTGTTTAAAGTTGTCCAGCCATTTACTTGCACCTTGACTGTCGATAAAAACAGTTTCCTGTTCTTTATATCTTATATCTCGGCCTGAATTGGGCTACAATCATTGATGACTCTGAAAGTAATTCTGACTCCAAATTCTGGAATGAAAATACCTTCCTCTACTCGTTCGACTGGTTTAGAGTCATCAATATACATGGATAGGCTTCGTAGAGAGGAGAAAGAGCTAGGCGATGCAATAATCAATATTATCCGGTAGGTTTTCTATCCTTTCTGTAATACTTACATGACCTTATGATCTGTGCGATCATGTGCATATTGCGTTTTATCTAAATACCGTTGTGAGGGCCATTTTTCTGGCCTATTAGTCTATTGGAATCCAGTTTAGCAACGCAGTGATTCGGTTATTACGGTCGATATTCTCCTTAGAGTCAAGGAGTTTGCAATATGAGTTTATATTTAGCGCTTTCCACCAATAGTAATAGCTCTAAGTAGTAATAGCTCTAAACAGAATTGACGCGCTGACCTCTTTAAAAATGCATTTTACACGTTCAATTTCTATCACCTATTTTTCTCCTATATCTTTCTTGCAGATGCCGTTAGAGCGTCCCTCCGGAGGCATGTTACCTCAATGGTGAATGAGCGGGAACGCCGCGAACGAAACGAACGAAACGAACGAACGAAACGAACGAAACGAACGAACGAACGAACGAACGAACGAACGAACGAACGAAACGAACGAACGAACGAACGAACGAACGAACGAACGAACGAACGAACGAACGAACGAACGAACGAACGAACGAACGAACGAACGAACGAACGAACGAACGAACGAACGAAACGAACGAACGAACGAACGAACGAACGAACGAACGAACGAACGAACGAACGAACGAACGAACGAACGAACGAACGAACGAAACGAACGAAACGAAAACGAACGAACGAAAACGAACGAACGAACGAACGAACGAACGAACGAACGAACGAAAACGAACGAACGAACGAACGAAACGAACGAACGAACGAACGAACGAACGAACGAACGAACGAACGAACGAACGAAGAACGAACGAACGAACGAAAGAACGAACGAACGAAGAACAACGAACGAACGAACGAACGAACTAACGAAGAACGAACGAACGAACGAACGAACGAACGAACGAACGAACGAAAAACGAACGAACGAACGAACGAACGAGAACGAACGAACGAACGAACGAACGAACGAACGAACGAACGAACGAACGAACGAACGAACGAACGAACGAACGAAAAACGAACGAACGAACGAACGAACGAACGAACGAACGAACGAACGAAACGAACGAACGAACGAACGAACGAACGAACGAAACGAACGAACGAACGAACGAAACGAACGAACGAACGAAAACGAACGAACGAACGAACGAACGAACGAACGAACGAACGAACGAACGAACGAACGAACGAACGAACGAACGAACGAACGAACGAACGAACGAACGAACGAACGAACGAACGAACGAAACGAACGAACGAACGAACGAACGAACGAAGAACGAACGAACGAACGAACGAACGAAAGAACGAACGAACGAACGAACGAACGAACGAACAACGAACGAACGAACGAACGAACGAACGAACGACGAACGAGAACGAACGAACGAACGAACGAACGAACGAACGAACGAACGAACGAACGAACGAACGAACGAAACGAACGAACGAACGAACGAACGAACGAACGAACGAACGAAAGAACGAACGAACGAAACGAACGAACGAACGAACAACGAAGAACGAACGAACGAACGAACGAACGAACGAACGAACGAACGAACGAACGAACGAACGAACGAACGAACGAACGAACGAACGAACGAACGAAGAACGAACGAACGAACGAAACGAACGAACGAACGAACGAACAAAACGAACGAACGAACGAACGAACGAACGAACAACAACGAACGAACGAACGAACGAAGACTAAACGAACGAACGAACGAACAAACGAACGAACGAACGAACGAACGAACGAACGAACTGAACGAACGAACGAACGAACGAACGAACGAACGAACGAACGAACGAACCGAACGAACGACGAACGAACGAACGAACGAACGAACGAACGAACGAACGAACGAACGAACGAACTAACGAAGAACGTAAACGAACGAACGAACGAACGAAACGAACGAACGAAACGAACGAACGAATACGAACGAACGAACGAACGAACGACGACGAACGAACGAACGAACGAACGAACGAAGAACGAAACGAACGAACGAACGAACGAACGAACGAACGAAACGAACGAACGAACGAACGAACGAACGAAAGAACGAACGAACGAACGAACGAACAACGAAGAACGAACGAACGAACGAAAGAACGAAACGAACGAACGAACGAACGAACGAACGAACGAACGAACGAACGAACGAACGAACGAACGAACGAACGAAGACGAACGAACGAACGAACGAACGAACTAACGAAACTAACGAACGAACTAACGAACGAACGAACGAACGAACTAATAACGAACGAACGAACGAACGAACGAACGAACGAACGAACGAAACGAACTAACGAACTAAACGAACTAACTAACTAACTAACTAACTAACGAACTAACTAACTACAACTAACTAACTAACTAACTAACGAACTAACTAAACTAACTAACTAACTAACTAACTAACTAACTAACTAACTAACTAACTAACTAACTAACGAACTAACTAACTAACTAACTAACTAACTAACTAACTAACTAACTAACTAAACTAACTAACTAACATGACTCACTTGGGCCTCGATAGAATGTAAGGCTTTTTACAAGCATGGAATTGAATAATTGGACGTGGTACAAATCAGTTTTGCAGATGCTGTTTAGACAAAGGGCTTGGTATAAGCCTCGTTTATGATTCGAACTTTCTCTATTTTATTAAAGAAGATTTTCTCTGAGACTGGAATAAATAAATATCTCAAATTTCAGAGCATTAATTTAAAGTAAATCAAGGAAATTTATTTATAAGTTCGGTATGTTATCCTTGAAACCCTAGTGTTAAAGTAACATTATTAAATTTTAATTCATTTTAACATTTTTCACTTTAGGAAGAAGACTACCTTTAGTTTTTAAACTTGCAATAACATCATTCGACTCATACAACTCCAATCCCTGGACAAAATGCATAAATGGCATAAAAGTGTTTAAGTTTTGATCGGTGAATGATAAATTTCTAAAAGCATAAGCGATATTCTGAAAAAAAATATAAACAAAAACAATTAATGCGTTACATAAATAATTTCCATTAAATATACCGCTTGAAATGGACACTGATAGGGTAAATTGCTCTTTCTTCTCAATTCAATAGCTAGTTTTTGTAATAAGGGTATATTGAAGCCCTTGCCCAATGCATCACAAATACTCATTTTAAAATCCAGAAAATGTAATGTTATATTTCTTGCCAATGGCTTGGCATCGATAAAATATCGCATGGAAAAATTGGTTTGCATAATTTTATTGAATACTATTTCTCCATCAAAGGAATAGTGATTTTTGCCAAATTTTTCCATTTTACACTTGAAATATTTGACACTGTTTTTCATTGCCATACAGCTGATATCCTCAAATACTAATTCGAAATTTCTTGAGGGAACCTGAAAATTAAAAGGATTATATGTTTTGTACTCTAGAGAAATTATTAACCCACCTGTATTGATATTTTAATAATTGAAAATAAGAAAATTATTTTAATAATTTTCCGACACATTTTCAAACACTATTTCCTATAATATATATTGTGTAATAATGTAATAATTTTT